TGAGGGCATGTGTGCATGTGAGGGCGTGTGTGCATGCGTGTATATGTGTGATGGTGGGGGTGGTGAAGACCTTACCACACACTAAGACACATTTTAAAGCCTCTCTAATTAAACAATGTGGAGTTACTGCATGAACAGGCAGACTAATAGAACAGAATAAAAATTTTAGAAACAGACCCACGTGCACATGGGAATTTAATGCTATAAATGAGGAGGAGGGAAAACATGGACTTCTTAATAGATGGCTTTGGGACAATTACACAGCTACTTGCAAAATCATAAAAAGTGGATTCATATCATTCATATAAAAGAACAAATTCCAAATGGATGGAGACCTAAATGCAAACATGAAATCACAGATGTGGTAGTAAAAACTGGGTGAATTCCTTTATGACCTGAGAATGAGGAAAGCCGTTCTATCTAAGACCTCAAAGTCCAAATGCCTGCAAGAAAAGATTGATAAATTAAACTTCAGTTTTGTTTGGCATGGCAAAAAATTCTATATATAGTTGACAGAAATGCAACATGTACGACCTGCAGCAGAAAGCTTTGGTAATGTCCAGAAAGTTTACACTCACTGTTGGTCCCGAAATCCCATTCCTAGGGATGGAGCCCAGAGGTTCAGCCGCATAAACACAAAAGGAGCGCAGAAGGCTGAGAGCAGCCTCTAGGCAGAATAAGGCCCCTGCAGGCGTCTCCCCTCACCCGGAGGTCCACACCCTGGACCCTGGGGCCTGCAGGCAGGTCACCCCACACAGAAGAGACTCTGCAGATGTGATTAAGGTTAAGAGCCTTGAAATAGGGAGATTATCCTGGATTATCTGGGTGAGTCTAATCGACCCTAAAAATGCAAGAGAGAGGCGGGAGAGTGGGTCAGGGAGAGAGACGAAAGAGACAGTGGCAGCCTGAGAAGGACATGCCCCCGCCCCACTGAGGGCTCTGCAGGTGGAGGAGGGGACGTGGGGACCCTCGGAGCCGGAGATAACGATGGCTGGCTCAGTCCCAGGGCCTCGGCAAGTGAGCTCTGCCAACAGCCTGGACAAGCGAGAGGAGTGGGAGATGGTGGTGTCCCAGAGCTCTGGACAGGAGCACAAGCTGCTCACACCACAGGCAACGGAGCTAATACTTTATAATAACCATAAGTGGAGTCGCGCCTTTAAAAATCACAAATCACTATATTGTACACCTGTAACTTATGTGATACTGTACAGCCACTATACATCAATTTAAAAGGAGAGGAGCAGGCTAGCAGGCGTGAAATAAATAAGATAAAGGGTTTAATGTACAGTACAGTGAATATAGCCAATATCTTGTAATAACCTTAAATGGAGTATAATCTTTAAAAATTACTTTGGCCACCTAATGTGAAGAGCCAACTCACTGGAAAAGACCCTGATGCTGGGAAAGATTGAGGGCAGGAGGAGAAGGGGGCAACAGAGGATGAGATGGTTGGATGGCATCACTGACTTAATGGACATGAGTCTGAGGAAACTCGGGGAGATGGTGAAGGACAGGGAGGCCTGGCGTGCTGCAGTCCATGGGGTTGCAAAGAGTCAGACACAACTGAGAGACTGAACCACAAGACACAGCACGGTGAATACAGACAATATCCTATAATAACTTTAAATGGAATATAATCTGCAAAAATACTGTACAACTGAAAGTAATACATATTGTAAATCAGAGATACTTTACTAAAATTTTTTAAATTAAAAAAAAAAAACAAAGCAAGAAAATCAAACACTCCAGCAATAACAGAAAGAGGGACCAGATGAACATAGAGAAGGGTGGAGGGTGGGTGAAGGGTGTGTGGGAGCGTGTTCCTTCTGGGCATGCTGAAAATGTGTTATATTAAAAATACAGGTATTAATAGGTCCGTTGTGGCAGAGAAGCATAACGCACGTGCACTTCACGTACAGAGAGGGGCCACGTGCTCACCCATCACCTTCTCTCCACGGACAGAGGGAGGACCCCTCCCTGACCGGAGCCGTGACCATCCTGGCGAGCGGGCCCCGGGAGCAGGAGCTGGCCGCTCCCGGGCCTGGCTCTGGGGCTGCAGCCCGCAGGTCTCGAGCAGAACCAGCAGAGCTGGCATCTCCACTCCCGCCGCCCCGCCTGGCCTGACGCCCGCCCTGAGGAGCGTCTGCCCGTCGTGCCCGGCGGTACTGCTGTCCAGGAAGAGTCAGGACGGACTCCTGGCTTCTGTGCTCCTTGGAGCGAGTGCCCGGCTCTGTCTGGCCGACTCTGAGCCTCTGCTTTCCAGGAGGGGCCATGGTTTTCCTCTTTTATTTTCTTTGATGCGTTTTCAAGCTCGCTTTTATTGTTTCGGTTTTCGCTTCCCGGGGATGTATTTTTTCAGTGATCCTTTCCTAAGTAATTAATTGTTCCAGCCGTACTGATCGATCGGTTCCAACTAGCTGGCCCACTGTCAGGATCCTGCAGAGGCTTCCAGAAATGGTTGCTTAATGAAAGTTTTGAAGACATAGATGAATCCCTGCCCTGATTTATGGCCAAATTTCCAGGATCGAATTGTCTTGCAACAGAGCACAAGCATAGTCCTGAAAACCACCAGGGTTTTGCTGAGGACACTGAGGGTCTGGAAACTTACGCTCTCGGCGCGGCTTGGCATCAGTGCGCTCTGCTCTGGGTGGAATAAGGTGCGTCAGGGTGGGTGGGATCCATGGAGGCCGGTGGGACCCTCTCCCTGATGCATGAGCCCTGTGGTCCTGCTCTCTTGCATTCATGCTCTGAGTCAAGTGCAAAGTCCTCCTAAGAAGGACGCTCGGGCTCCCCATGACCTGCCCCCAGCTCCTCCCTACACCCCGCCCGGGCTCCCCATGACCTGCCCCCAGCTCCTCCCTACACCCCGCACTCCAGCCATCTGTCCTCCATGCCGTCCTCACAGAGGAAGTTCGTGTTCCTTTCCCAGCAACCTGAAGGCCCTTCCCCTGAGACAGAACCTCCCTCCCTGACCGCACAAACGGCGTCTGCTTCTGCTCACCGCTGCATACCTCATGCTAGACTAGGGCCTGGAGATAAATACACGCTATAAACATTGTTGAGTAAAATGCAGGTTCGTCCATTCTGACTGTATCAAACAATCATCTTAGTCTGTTCTGTAGCTCACTGTGATAAAGAATTAAAAGAAAAATCTCAACCAACGGCACCATCAAATTGGGGAAACCTATACCAAACCACTGCTGAGTTTTATAAACTTGCTGGCATGCTGAATGCACCACTTTCACAGCATCATCTTTCAGGATTTGAAATAGCTCGACTGGGATTCCATCACTTCCACTAGCTTTGCTTGTAGTGATGCTTCTTAAGGCCCACTTGACTTCGCACTCCAGGATGTCAGGCTCTAGGTGAGTGATCACGCCATCATGATTATCTGGGTCGTGAAGATCTTTTTTGTATAGTTCTACTATAGTTCAATTGTGTATTCTTGCCTCCTCTTCTTAATATCTTCTGCTTCTGTTAGGTCCATAGCATTTCTGTCCTTTATTGTGCCCATCTTTGCATGAAATGTTCCCTTGGTATCTCTGATTTTCCTGAAGAGATCTCTATTCTTTNTCTCCAGGAGATCTTCCCAGCCCGGGGATCAAACCCAGGTCTCCCACATTGCAAGCAGATTCTTGACTAGCTGAGCTACAGGGAGGCCCAAGAATACTCTGGGTCTAGTTAAATGACATGATAAAGGGGTACGAAGTAACCCTCTATAAATTAAATGATTGATACTAAGACACTTTCCAACCTAGCCCTCTTCTCCTCCCTAACTCCTACTTGCTTTACCTATCAAGCAAGAAGTTAGAAGAATTTTCTTCTGGGAGAATTCAACTAACCCTAGAGGAAAAATCTAAATGATACTAACATCAGGTTCCCCAACAATTCAGATTACTGTGTTGAAAAGCACAGGCTCCACTCACATGTTCAAAACTTAAAATTAGGTTTTTAGTTCCCCTGGTCCCATCACTTCATGGCAAATAGATGAGGAAACAGTGGCAACAATGGCAGACTTTATTCTTCTGGGTTCCAAAATCACTGCAGATGGGGACTGCAGCCATGAAATTAAAAGATACTTGCTCCTTAGAAGGAAAGTTATGACCAACCTAGACAGCATATTAAAAAGCAGAGACATTACTTTGCCAACAAAGGTCCGCCTAGTCAAAGCTATGGTTTTTCCATTCAGTTCAGTTCAGTTGCTCAGTCGTGTCCGACTCTCGCGACCCCATGGACTGCAGCACGCCAGGCTTCCCTGTCCATTAGTTATGGTTTTTCCATTAGTCATGTATAGATGTGAGAGTTGGACTACAAAGAAAGCTGAGTGCCGAAGAATTGATGCTTTTGAACTGTGGTGTTAGAGAAGACTCTTAAAAGTCCCTTGGACTACAAGGAGATCAAACCAGTCCATCCTAAAGGAAATCAGTCCTGAATATTCATTGGAAGGACTGATGCTGAAGATGAAACGCCAATACTTTGGGCACTTGAGGCAACGAACTGACTCACTGGAAAAGACCCTGATGCTGGGAGAGATTGAAGGCAGAAGGAGAAGGGGACGACAGAGGATGAGATGGTTGGATGGCATCACCGACTTGATGGACATGAGTTTGAACAAGCCCCAGGAGCTGGTGATGAACGAGGAAGCCTGGCGTGCTGCAGTTCATGGGTCCTAAAGAGTCACACGCCTCACACGACTGAGCGACGGAGCCGAACCGAACCATGACTTGAGCGTGCGCCCCCACCACCCCTTCTTCCGTCATCCAGGGAGAGTCCAGCCTAATACCCTGTGTCCCCTCTTGTTCCCACGTCTGCCCCGGGCACCCCAGCCACTCCAGACTCCTGTTCTCCTCCTCCAAACACCACTGCCCCCCCTCAACCACCCAAGGCCGCACCAGCCAGGGGCTCATCTACCCCGCAGAGGCATCTCTGAACTGCCTGTCACCTCCAGGCCCCGCCTTACTCTACGGGAACTGCAGCTCTCAGCTTCAGGGTGACCATACCTGTCCCTGCACAATCCACCTGGAGATGGCCGTCTTCCCGTCATACCCCGGTCGGAACTGGAGCGTGGCCGAGCGAGGGCTGATGTTGGAAATGACCAGATTGGATGGGGCACCGGGAAGTTCTGCACATAGAGGAGAGAGGGAAGGTGGAGATTTAAATCCTGCCACAGCTCAGGAAAGGTATCAAACATGTCAGCAACAACCACTCTCAACAGGCCTTTACACCAGACAGGGTTTATTTTTACAACTGCCAGAGTGAGAAGCACAGCGTTCCTTCCGAGGGTCCTCAAAGAATGCAAAGGGCTGAGTGTCCGTCTCCCTTCTGACAATGACCTGGTGCCTTCGAAACAGGATGGGGAGGGAGTGTGCACCCCAAGTATCTCCCGGCAGCTTGAAATGGGAGGTCGGTGGGTCCCAAGCCATAGGCTTCCTGGCTCTGGTTTCCAAGACAACCGGACTCAGGTGAAAGTGCAGAACTGGTCCCCCTCTGCCTGTGGTCTTTTGCTCTGGGAACTGGACGAGGGCAGGTGGGCTCTGCGTGTGGTCCCACGTCTGCGGCCGGCTGTGGCTAAGCCTCCTCCTTGGACAGAGGCCCTTCTGCAGGCTGACCCCCTGGCCCGCCCCCAGGAGCCTGCCCCACTAGAAAGTGAGATGCTGTGGGTCCACAGGGAGAGCTCTGACATTACTGGGCAACTGAAAACTGCTCGAGAAAGACCGCGGGATGCATCGAAGGAGAGAAAGAGGACACCAGTGTCAGGAAAGGCTCCCAGACGCTCTGTGTCCAAGGGATGACGTCCAGACTCGCTGTGTTCGGGGTGTTTAAGACCAGGTCTCGCACGGGGGCCACAGGACCACTCTGGTGAAGGCTCAGTGCTGGCACACGCCGCGTCGCTGGGCTCTCAGGGGTCCTTTCCACCTCACCTTTAGTGAACTTGAAGAGGAGACTAAATCGAAGGAGAAGTGACTCTTTTCTGTATATCTGTCAGCTCTCTGGGTTCTGCAGCTGGTTCTCCAGCCATGAATGGATGTCAACTTCAAGCACCGCAAATGGATCATAGCCCAAAGTGATGGTCATCACGGGCTTTTTCTCGGTGTGACCCAGGACAGACCCCGGCTCCTGGGGACCCCGGCCTCCCCCAGCCAGGCTGTCAGGTCCACTCGGCGCGGCTGGGCCCGACTCTGGCAGCCCTTCTCTGCATCCGGGGTAGTGCTGATCACAGTCACGCTGGGATCGAGGCCGCTCGGAGGTGAGGTCAGCTGGCCACTTCCAGGCCCCGGTTGGACGGTGTCCAAACCATCCAGGGAATAAGTTGGTCGCCCAGGGATGCTCCGTGTTACCCCGGCCGCTGCCCATTAGCCGGTTCTAACGAATGAAATCACATGGCATCATTGCCGCCTCATTGTCACTAGTTACTGGGGTCCTAACCTTTGAATGTGCGTTTTGGGAGCTGCTGTGTGCGTGGAATATGTGAATCTCTCTGGAAGCCAAAGACTTCCTTCTTAAGAAAGGACACGTGTCTTATGTAGATGCCTTAGAGAAGACATCGGATCGGCTCAAGTGTGGCCCCCGGCCAGTAGCATGGGCGCCACCTGGAGCGCGACCCGGGGCAAGTTCTGCAGCCTTGCCCACATCCAGGGGGTGGCCATGTGGGGGCTGGCCCAGCACAGACGGGGTGGGGCGTGGAGATGGACGCACAGGACAGTGTGAGAAGCCCTGCCCGAGAGAAAGGACAGTGGTGACTGTGCGTCAGGGGACGGACAGCTGTGTCCCGGGACCCCGGGGCTCCCAGCTCCCCGAGGAGAGGGCTGCGGGGATGACGGCTGGTTTCAGTCTTTAGGGCCGTCCTGCTTTTCTCAGAGACCCAAAGGAGGTGACCAGATGGCTTCTGCGGAGCACAAGCTCTCTGGTTTAGCTCTAGAACGGAATCGATGGCCCCACAACATTTTCTCACGCTTGTGTGTTGGTGAATTCCTGGGAAAAACGCTTTCATTTTAAATGTAAACTTTGGAGAGAAACAGCTGAGTGCAATTTCCGAAGCTGGAATGAGTGTGAATTAGGGAGATGATCTGACCTCCAGAAAGGCCCCGCCGGGGGTGCACGCGCTCCCCGACCTTCACTGCGACCCCCTCCTGCCCGCTTCCTCCCCACCTTCCTGCTCCATCTTGCAGACCCACACTCCTCCTGCCTTGCTGAGGGGATAGTTCTGTGCCTCTTGGTCTTAACTGCAGTAATTCACTGACCCCCGACCATCCCAGCGCAGGGCTCACACCCCTCTTTCAAAGGCCCCCAGTGACTTCTGCACAAAGATGCCCACCAACTCGGAGCGTGAGTGAGGCCCGGGGAGCACGGCCGCGGGGACCGCAGGGCCTGAGCGTACTGACCTGGGGGCACCCCGGAAGAGATGGTGGACGAGGTGGGCATGCCGGCGCCCGCGGCGGTGACGGCCGCCACGTCGATGGTGTAGGTGGTAAGGGAGGACAGCCCCTGGATCTTGTACTCGAGCGTCGAGCTGTTGAGGGTGAGTGTGAGCCGCGAGGCGCTCTGCCCGTACACCTCCCAGGAGACCTGATAGCCTGGAAAGCAGGTGGGGCACAGGGTCAGTCCTGGGGTCCGGGAGCCAGGGCAGGGGTGGGCGCCCCCCGGTCATCTCAGGGCTCTGACAACGGCCGCCNCAACACCGGGTTCCCCCCACCCCCCACTCCCACGCTCAAGTTCATCTGTCGGGGCCTGAGGATCACAATTCATTCAGCCTTGGGGCCCATCGTGATCTGGGGCTCAGAAAAAAGACCCAGGCAGCCCTGAGTCAGCCCCCGTGCGGGGGGTGTTCTGTGATTACAGGACACCACGGCGCATCCCCGAGGACGGAGGCGCTGATGGAGGGCTCCCCGGCCGCGGCGGAGTGCTGAGAGCGCTGTTCTTCTGTCTCCGGTCGTGAGCCCGGGGACAGAAGCGCCAGGAAGCTCTGGGCTCCTCCTCACTCTGATGAAGCAATAAATTGAGCGAGAGACTTGCACTTGCACGTAAATAAGAATTTAGAGGAGAGTGTTTCGGGACTTCAGCACTTTGGAAAAAAAAATAATGCTAGAAGCCGCTGCCCGTCAGCCGCCCCACAGCCTGCCGGCCTCCGCGGGCAGGGGGCGGCCCTTGCCGGGGTTGGGGGGCCGGGGCAGCAGGCCGTGGAGGACGGAGGGGGGCCCTGCCACACACCGGCAGCCTCCGCTTACCTGAGCTGCACTCCCGGCCGCTGGGTCCCCACCCCGGGCCCACATGAACCACGGACTCCAGCCAGGCCCGCGGCCCCAGCTGCCTCCTGGGACCCCCTCCACTCTCCGTCCTCCTCCGCACAGAGGACGGTGCTCACTCCAGACCTGAGAGCCTCCTCCCCGCTTCCCGCCCTGACCCCTGCCCTCCCTCACCGCAGAGGCAGGAACACCCCAAGGCGCTAAAATCCATCGTTCTTTTTTGCCGAGTCAGACTTTTGGGACTAACTGTACAGTGAAGACCAGACAGGCAGGGCAGTGAGGACCGGTAACGTCACACATGCTGTGTCCATGACGTTCCTGCGATGCCCTGAGTGCCCCACGCGTGTGAATTCACTCAGCCTGGGCCGGAGCTCTGAGGCTGCAGCATCATCGCCCCGCCTCACGGAGGAGGGGACCAAGGCCGTGGCCCCTCATCGCCTTCCCAGCCTGCAGGCCCCTGGGAGCCCTGCCGCCTACGGCAGGCCGGGGAGGCGTGCCCAGCCTGGGGGTCGTCCGAGGGGCCTCCACTCCGCGAGGCTCAAGTTGGCCCCACACATGCTGGACCAGAAGGCTGCTGTTACACACTCATGTTCTTATGTGTGCTGTTAACATCACCACCTTGTCCACCAGACAATTTTCTTTGTCTAGAAGCTGTTCATCAAAATTTACTAAAATATAGCATCTTGTTCTGCATGGCAACCTGGAGCCCAAACACAGCACTTCCAGCGCCTTGCTAAGAAAATTAGCGGGGTTCCACGGCATCGCAGCGGACAGTCTGGTGGGCGCTGTTGTCGTGGATACAGGTGAAGCCAAACGCACAACGGAAGGCCCGCAGGTGCTCGGGAAAGGGCGTGGCAAAGGCCAGCGAGAGTAGGCCGGCCTGAACGCCCGGCACAGAGGCCTGGAGCGTGGCACGTGGTGGGCGAGGCCCCGGGCAGGCAGGCCTGGCCGGAGTGCTCCCCCGGCTGGGGCGGGAGGCGGGAGGACAGAACCCTTCACCCAGGGTGTGCTCTACCAGATCCAAACACTGCCTAACTGAGACTAACGACCAGAGGGGCTTCAGAAATGACTCCCTGTTGAGCTGAAGTAAATTCTCCAGGAGAGAGCAGTGCATCCAATCGCGAGCTGTCTGTCCGCGTCCTCCTGCTCATAAATCAGCATTTAGGCAGGGACTGTGGGGGGTGCTGCCTGTACAGGGGGAGCCCAGGCGGAGTTCGCTGGGCGCCCCACGCCCCTGCCACCTCCTGCTGGCTCCTTCCAGGCACTTCAGGGAAGCTCCCAGCATCCAGTCTCCTACGGGGTGTCTGGGCCACAGAGTGGCCCGTGCGCAGGGCTAGACGTTATGGTGCCGTCTGCCCGTCAGCTTCTCTGACCAGCACTGATGGGGCGGCTTCGGAGGGACGGCTTCGGAGGGACGGTACCTGGTGCCCTGTAGACGCTTCCTGAAAGGGGCTTTCGGAGGCCCGGTTTGCCCACAAACACGGTTTTCTTTATTGTACTTGGTAGAATTCTCTCCGTTCAGCCTGGAAAAGGCCTCTGGGGTGCGGCTGGCATGCCCCACGGGAGACCAAGTCCGTCCAGGGGTGCTGCCCTGCGTGTCTGAGCAGAGCATCCAGGGCGGGGAGGGTCCCACAGAAGGCAGGGGTCCTGGGGGTGACTGTGGGGACACTGAAGCCAGGGTCGGCCTCTGGGAAGGCCCCCTCCCCCTGCAGCCCATTTTACAGAGTCGGGGGGGCGAGGTGAGGACAGAGCAGACCACGAGGGACAACGGCCCCCGAGGGCGGCGTGGCTGGAGCGGAGCGTCTGCCTGAAGCTCTGACCCTCGGAGCCGCCACTGCAGACCTGCCTCCAGCCCAGGGCAGGGCGGCCGGCTCTGGACAGCCCGAGCTGCAAAGGCCAAGTTCCATGACAAACAGTAGCTGTTGCCGGTGACTGCAAGTATTTGTTTAATAAAACACGAAATTGGGTTCATTAAGCCCTATTAGCTGTAGGAACTGATGATCATTAATCAGGAGTGTCGGCTGCGGGCGCCCAGCCTGGGGAGGTGGGCTCCACTCGGGCAGGCGGGGGGTTGACGCCCGTGGATTTCCCGCAAGGCCGGATGCTGGAAGGGAGTGGCGGGCGGGTGCTAGGAGGGCCCGGGCAGGGCCGAGGCTGCAACTGTCAGCGGGGAGGCCTCCCGGTGGAGTCTGTCCATTGAGGCGTCCGGGCCGGGATTCCGAAACGTACCCCTTTCCTGTGGGTCCTCAGGGCCGAGCCAAGGAAGGTGAAAGGTCTGCCTGCCCCGCGCCCTGGTCCCCCTGAAGTCAGCGGCAGCTGCAGCTCTAACTCACGCTAATTCGGGCCACAGGTGTCCCCACGGGGCTGAACCGGAAGGACTTCCTCCACGTGGGGGCCGCTGCTCAGCTTTCGGTGCTTCTGGGTTTGCTTCCCTCTCGCTGGTCTGTCTGTTTTCTCCGCTTTGCGCAGCTTAAAGCCACAGGAAGCTGGATTCCTCTGGGCGACCGCCCTCCTCTGCTCCACGCCCGCCTACCTTGGTCTCATTCCTTCCACTCCGGGCCACAGCGGGGCGTCTTCCCTGCACACGCAGCACTGCGTCCTCTGCCCAGAGGCCGCAGAGTATGAACAGACTGGGCTTTGGAGGTCTGATTTCAGTAGGGAATTTCCCCCTTCCTGGACTTAATATCATTCACAGCTTCTTGAGGGCAGATCTAGATTCATGAATCTATTTAAAAGTGAGGGTCAGAGGCGGCATTGGCTCAAAGGTGCCCCTAATGGCAGCTTCTGGATCGGAGCACTCCCCTCTGTAGGGGGTCTGGTCGGAGCAGGTGAGCCGAGGGCCTCCTGCAGGTAGGCAGAGGGCGGATTGGCACGGTGAGGTTTTCCTGAGCAATGGGAGAGAAGTGGGGAGCTCAGTGCAGGGACAGAACCCAGGCTGTGTGCGGGGGGCTGTGTCTGAGGCTCCACCTGAACCTGCAGCTGGAGCCAGTCACACTCCCAGGATCAGAGCACGCCGCAAGCCTTCGAATGTGCCCTGTCTCTGCTGCATTTCCAGTGGTTAGAGAGATGCGGACACAGAACCGTGTGAACACCGCGTGGGACAGGAAATTCGGGAGGTGGGCGGGGTCCACTCGGATCCCAAGCTGAAGAAGCTGGGCAGTGCCCGTGGCGCACGCATCCCACTGGGAGCTAACTGGTTACTTAGGAAGGAATTGCAAACATTCTTCTTTCAATGAATGTGTCTTCTTCTTTCAAACGGCTGTTCACTTGCCGGGATATAATACTTATTAAGCTGTCTGCACCTAACCACTGAGGAAGCGGAAACCTCTGGCCTTCCCCTGGCGGGGCCACTGTCCCCGGGAAGACGTGAAGCAAAGACGTGAAGCCTTGCCTTGGGCCTGGACAGGGAGCCTTGGCCAACCCCCGTGCTGCATGTGGATGATGCGATTTAAGTGGAAATTCAGCCCTATAACCTGGAACGTTCTTCAGAAGGCTCTTCTACAGAATGAAATCAAGCCGTTCCCCTGAGACCACAGTGCAGGAGAGGGAGGCGGTCCCTGCTCCCTGGACGCCCCTCACCTGCAGCTGCCCCCCGGTGGCCTGGCATCAGGGGCAGGGGACAGGCGTGGCTTGGCTGCTCTCCGGGACCGGGGGGTGGGGGGAGGCGGGGGACAGGGCCACCCCATCATGGCGCCTGCATTCGGCTCTCCCTGCCGCCCCAGCCCCAGCCTCCTCAGCTGTCACACCGCCGTGATCTCAGCAGTCACCTCCCTGCACGGCCACGAGATTACAGCCCATGAAGGGGACACACCTGGGGCGCAAGTCTCCTGGGCAGAGATGTCAGAGGCCTGTTCAACAAGCCCACGAGACCGAGCCTCCACACTCGGAGGCTGCAGCCTGGCTGGGGCGGGCCACACGAAGCGAGGCCCCGGGACAGGTCCCTCCCTTCTCCACTGGCCCTGCGCCAGTCACCCTGCAGGCCATGGGCACCTGGGTGCTGCCAGCCGTGGCGCCTGGAGCTATGTCCGTCTCACTGTGTGGGGCAGACTTGCTTCTCCTTTTTCTGACCACAGAGACCCTTACCTGTAATGATGCCATTTTTCTCCAGGGGCTCCTGCCAGCTGACCTTGAGAGATGTGTCTAGAATCTCCGTGAAACTCAGGTGGCCCACAGCTCCTGGTTCTGGAAATGAGAACCAAAGACATCTGTTAGCATGTGGCCTGATTCTCTCCAGTTGGATTGGTGTGGAACAGTCTATCTGTGGAAGGAGGCGGGAGCCGGGACCAAGGTCAGAGCCCTCAGGAAAAGCCAGAGAAAGCCCAGAAGGACGGGGTCTGAAGTGTCAGAGGGGACCGGGCTATGGCCACATACACGATCTCTGTCGGCCTCACCCTGGCCTTGCCAAGAACTGCAGAGACCGGCGGCGGGAGATGCAGACGCGATCCCTTCTCTTTCTCCCGATCGGATCGAGTCGAACAATCGGGTGGTTGGACCCTGAAGGCTGCTGCTGACCCCAGCGTCCCTGACGCCTCTGCAGTCTTGTGGGTCTGTCTCGTGTGGGGCCAGGAGGCCGGGCCGGCCATACCTGGTCTCCGGCCGATGCCTGCCAACCTGATCTACGCCGTAACCTGCACTTACTCTCCCCAGGGAGCCCAGGGCAGGGCAGGCGTGAGGAATTTCCGGCAACGATTGCGTGTTTCCCTAGAGTTCCCCTGACCATAGCCCCCTCCTAAGGCAGGAGGGCAGCGCAGCAGAGCTGCCGTTGGCTCAACGCCAGGCTCGGCGGGGCAGAAGCCTGGTCCCCTGCCGGCTGGCTCTGCGGTCCCGAGAGTGGCTAAGCCTTAGTTTGCTCATCTGCGAAACAGGGAAAACAAAAGTAACTCACGCTGCAAGGTCATTGTGAGAAAAAATGTAATAAAACACGAAAGCGGTCAGCATGTCCCCGGCACCACAAAAACGCTGACTGACGTGGCTGCCGTTGTTACCAGTTGTCAGTTACCATGCCATCAGGATATAGAGCCGTTTCTAAGAAGAGCTTACTGTCGATTTGCAAAGCGCTGGAGAGAAAAGGCCTGAAAGGCCAGGACGTGAACTAAACAGGTCCGGACTCTCAGACCCAGAGGCACGTCAGCAGTCTGCTCTGACCCCGCCCCGCTTCTCCGGCTGGAGAATTCCACGCCAGGCTCAGAGCAGGGATGCGCAGGGGCCAGCCCGGAGCTGGGTCCGGCACCTGGGTCTCCTGCCTGCCCTGGAGGGACCGCAGGGGCCACCAGGGGGCTCTGAGCCTATCGCCTGCTTCAGCTCCTCCAGGCTGAGTGCTCCAGCGCCCCCACACCCGGTCCCCTCGGGGCCGCCTCCCCAGGAGGTGGGAAGAGGTGACGGGTGACCATGCCCACAGTGACGGGTCACACGTGCCCGTGAGGTCCCGCTCTGTGCCGTGGTGGGGGGGGGGGCAGGTGGGAAAGGAGACCCTGGAGCGGAGGCGCAGCGGTCAGACGGGGTGGGGGCCGGTGAGGGGGGTGGAGAGAGTGGGGGTCCCCTGCATCCCGAGCCCCAAGCCAGGCATCATGGGGCGCCTGGAGGGCACCCCTCAGGCCCGCAGTTCACCAGTCCTGCTCCGCCAGCCTCTCTGCGGTGGCACCTCCCCGCACCCACAGGCACGCCCTGCCCTTTTTCAGGAGAAGCGCAGCGGACACGTCAGGGGAGGAAAAGGAGGCGCAGAAGCAGGCTCGGAGGGGAGACAAGGGTGCTCCTCGCCGGGCGGGGAACCAGGTTCCCACTGGCCTCCCCTGGACACCTCTGGGCAAGGCCACTCGGAGAGCTTTCTCATAACAACAAAGAGCAGCTTTTTCAGCCTAGAACAGGAGAGCATGGAGTCAAGGGTGCCTGGTGTCTGTCCAGGGGCTGAGCTCAGAGATTCCAGCCGACCAGCCTCAGCCCTGTTCTGCCCACTGTCAACCTTGTAGAGACAGCAGGATTTTAAGGCGAATTCCACACCTGGTACCCAGTTGGTACTTGGACAAAGCCTCCGAACACACCTCGTGATTTTTTAAAAAAAATGATAACAGCCTCAGCAAATTCACTCATCTGGGCGAAACTTTCAAAAGACTCTTTATGGATAAACTCACACACTCTGACAAATTTCACTCTTTGAGTGTGGAACACGGTAAAATAGGATGGCTGTCAAGACCATCTCGTCCTCCTCCAATTCTAAGATTCCAGAAAGACATTCTGACGGATTTTTGAACTGACTTGTTCTTTTTCTCGATCGATAGAACAGTGAAGAAAGCTTTTTGCTCCTTTTATGTTCTCAGTGTTTCTGCTTCCTGGATTCCTGCCCAAATATGCTTGTCCTCTAGCTCTGCTGGAACCAGCTGGCAGCGTCTCGGCTTAAATTTATATTCTGTTTCCTCTCTACTGCACTGCCCACCCCCCACCCCCTCCCCACAGTTCTTATTTCATTAGAGCTTTGGAGAAGGAGGGCCGCTGCGTGTGCAGAACTAACCAGGGCGCCATCCGCGTCGTCACTGTGGGGTGATGGGGGCCACTTTGCTGGCATGCAGGGCCCCAGGTCCTGTTCTAAAGGCTGCACCCCCAGAGCTGACAGCAGCCCCGTACGTGCTCAGTCGCGCGGTAGTGTCTGACTCTGCACCCTGTGGACTGTAGCCCGCTAGGCTCCTCTGTCCGAGAGATTCTCCAGGCAAGAACGCTGGGGTGGCTGGCCACGCCCTCTCGGAGGGGATCTTCCTGACCCAGGGGTCGAACCCGCACCTCTTACGTCTCCTGCATCGGCAGGTGGGTTCATTACCACTCGCGCCACGTGGGAAGCCCAGCAGCAGCCCTACCTCCCGTCTTTCAGGGAGACTGTCCACGCCTACAAGGATGCTCTGTCTTTCTAGGTAGGACCGACAGGCTCCCTTTCTATCAAAAAACGGTGGTTCAGTTAGAAAATCCTAAAAAGACGATGTCGCTGCTACTTTTCTCAACTCTCAAGAAATTTCTCATTTTCCCTCTGTACTAGCGGGGGGCCTGGGGCCTTGAAGGTCCTGTTCCCTGGCTGCCCAGCATTATGAGGTGTTTCTGCACTGTCTGTGTCTGTCTTTGTCGCTGTCCAGTCGCTCAGTCGTGTCCGACTCTTTGTGACCTCATGGCCAGGAGCATGCCAGGCTCCCCTGACCTCCACTATCTCCTGGAGTTTGCTCAGTCTTATGTCCACTGTCTCTGTCTAACTGGCAACCACAGAGCTTTTTAAGTAAAGAATTCAGCCAGGACTCTTCTCTCATTTATCTGAAGAAGTTCCCTGCTTTTGCCACTTGCTATTTTTAGTAAGTGTCCTCTGGAAAGTAAAGCCCGAGGTCCAGTTGGACCTGCTGTGGTTGGAGCTGAGATGCTGCCCTGGGCTCGTCTCTCAGTAATGAAATGGAAGGAAATGTCCAAGTGATGAAGAGCTATGAGGGGTGCCCGATAGACGCTCTGAGAATTCACTGCTACCTCCCTCAACTATGGGGTGGGGGGCTCCCCTTCCCACCCCCTGCAGTCGTAACGGAGACCAGCGGTGTCTCCTTCAGGGGAGAAGGGGTCTTCCGGCACACAGACCTCCTCCTCTTCCAGAGCCCCCCACCCCGGGCCCCCGGCTCGTGCCCCCGGCACGCAGTCTCCAGCCAGCCTCCTTGCACACGATGGCATGCAGGGCCCCAGGTCCTGTTCTAAAGGCTGCACCCCCAGAGCTGACAGCAGCCCCGTACGTGCTCAGTCGCGCGGTAGTGTCTGACTCTGCACCCTGTGGACTGTAGCCCGCTAGGCTCCTCTGTCCGAGAGATTCTCCAGGCAAGAACGCTGGGGTGGCTGGCCACGCCCTCTCGGAGGGGATCTTCCTGACCCAGGGGTCGAACCCGCACCTCTTACGTCTCCTGCATCGGCAGGTGGGTTCATTACCACTCGCGCCACGTGGGAAGCCCAGCAGCAGCCCTACCTCCCGTCTTTCAGGGAGACTGTCCACGCCTACAAGGATGCTCTGTCTTTCTAGGTAGGACCGACAGGCTCCCTTTCTATCAAAAAACGGTGGTTCAGTTAGAAAATCCTAAAAAGACGATGTCGCTGCTACTTTTCTCAACTCTCAAGAAATTTCTCATTTTCCCTCTGTACTAGCGGGGGGCCTGGGGCCTTGAAGGTACTGTTCCCTGGCTGCCCAGCATTATGAGGTGTTTCTGCACTGTCTGTGTCTGTCTTTGTCGCTGTCCAGTCGCTCAGTCGTGTCCGACTCTTTGTGACCTCATGGCCAGGAGCATGCCAGGCTCCCCTGACCTCCACTATCTCCTGGAGTTTGCTCAGTCTTATGTCCACTGTCTCTGTCTAACTGGCAACCACAGAGCTTTTTAAGTAAAGAATTCAGCCAGGACTCTTCTCTCATTTATCTGAAGAAGTTCCCTGCTTTTGCCACTTGCTATTTTTAGTAAGTGTCCTCTGGAAAGTAAAGCCCGAGGTCCAGTTGGACCTGCTGTGGTTGGAGCTGAGATGCTGCCCTGGGCTCGTCTCTCAGTAATGAAATGGAAGGAAATGTCCAAGTGATGAAGAGCTATGAGGGGTGCCCGATAGACGCTCTGAGAATTCACTGCTACCTCCCTCAACTATGGGGTGGGGGGCTCCCCTTCCCACCCCCTGCAGTCGTAACGGAGACCAGCGGTGTCTCCTTCAGGGGAGAAGGGGTCTTCCGGCACACAGACCTCCTCCTCTTCCAGAGCCCCCCACCCCGGGCCCCCGGCTCGTGCCCCCGGCACGCAGTCTCCAGCCAGCCTCCTTGCACACGACGGGGCCAGAGCCCAGTCAGCCTCCTGCTTCTCTGAAGCCCCGGGGCCCCAAAGTGACTGCACCCTCTTAGGTGGTTTAACTGCCAAGGACCTCATACTCAGACACCCTGAGGTGGCACTGGTTTCAAGCCTTTCCATCTGTGGTGAGACCACACGCTTCAGTTATAGCCCCAACCTTTCCTGGAGAGCACGGCCACAGTCGCGAACTGCTGGGCTCCCAAATCTGCTTCTTCAGGCCCTCTGCGGCCTCGACGTGAGCGGGTCCCGACGGAGCCCCGCGTGCCAACCCTGGGCCTGCCCTCACATTCCGGTCGCGGTCGCCACCACCTACCCGTCACCCGAGCCGAAGTTTGGGGAGTCCTCCTGGAGAACCCCTTCTCCCCACCCCCACACCCAGGTCTCACCAGCCCCCGGTTCTTTGTGACACGTCTCTAGGTCTCCCCCAGTGCCAGCCCCACGTCTGGGATACAGGCTGTCATGATTATCCACCTTCTCCCCAGACGCATCACCTTTGTCTCTAGTCCATCACCACGAAACCTCCAGACAGAGCTTTGAAAGCACTCGAGCCACAGCCCTGCGGGAAGTCCTTCCGTGGTCCTGAGTGCCTAGACGGCTCCATCTATGAGTCTTAACTGAGCCGTCGAGACCCCTCTGGTCAGCTCCCAGATTATTTCTCTTGGCTCACCCGTACCCCATAGACCACACAAAGCTAAGCTGGGCATGACAGTGGCCCCGACCTCTTTGATGACTGAGGGGTCTTGATGAGACCCCTGGAGAGGGCACTCACTGTCTTCATGCGTCCATATGAGCTGTGGCGTGCTCGGGGGCCCGTCCCCGGGGGTGGTGAAGCACAGAACTGATGTGAAGTAAGCTGTAAACTTCTTCAGGTTGGTGATGTACCCATGGTGGACTCCGTGGAAATCTGGAGCGATGGTGACGACAGTGACAGCTTCGGGGACATCGTCCGGCCAAGCCAGAAGCTGGGATGGAACGGGGTTGAAAAAGAGATTCAATTTCATGCTTTCACCCTCAAGTCCGCACCAAAATTTTATTTTGCGATAATATGTCTTTGAAGAAGACAAAGTCATTCTAAAATCTCACTGAAAAATATTGATTTTAAAAGATATCTCACAGACTACTTGAGTACAAATATGTATATTTATGGGCTTCCCAGGTGGCGCAGTGGCAAAGACCCCGCCTGCCAATGCAGGAGACGCTGCAGACGTGACTTTGACCCCTGGGTCGGGAAGACCCCCTGGAGAAGCAAAGGACAATGCACTCCAGTATTCCTGCCTGGAGAGTTCCATGGACAGAAGAGCCTGGCCAGCTACAGTCCACGGGGTCACAAAGCGTGGGACACAACTGAGCAACTGGGCACATGTATATCTCTGTATGCATTTTATACACGTGTATATAAAAAAGCTACTTTCACTCACATTGGGAAAAAAGACACTTCTCAAACTTTCACCTTCTCTTCACTTACACGTTACAGAACATATATATATTTAATATTAAGAAGTAAAGATGACATTACCTATTATTTGAATGGATCTGTACAATGAAACTTCAGTACAAATATTTTTTCTGGATGGGCATGTACTCTGACTCAAAAAGAAGTCCTAAGTTCAATGGAAAGAAAGAAAGAAAGTGAAGTTGCTCAGTCGTGTCCGACTCTTTGCGACCCCATGGACTGTAACCTACCAGGCTCCTCAGTCCATGGGAATTTCCAGGCAAGAATACTGGGGTGGGTTGCCATTTCCTTCTCTGGGGATCTTCCTGACCCAGGGATCGAACCTGCGTCTCCTGCATTGCTGGCAGATTCTTTACCATCTGAGTCACCAGAAATACAGTATAAATACACATTCAAGGAACTCATTTTAATGTTTTGGCCACATTATCTATGAGTGTGACTTTCAATTCCTCTGACACCAAACATTTCGAGGGCTAACAGGTCTGAAAATGGACACACCACAGGACAAGGAGCGTGTTTATGTAGAAGAGTAAGCTAACAACCAAGCCACTGAATGAATGCCCCGGTCTTGCCAGTAAGATCTTCACTGATCAATATGATTTCAAAGAAACTTCTGACTGTAGCTACCTCTGGGAGAAAAGAAAAGACAGGACAAATTTACAACTATGCCTGTCTTTCCAGCGAAAAACAAGTGTTTTAGTAAGTTGACTCCAAATCGGGAGCGGGGGTGGGGGGTGGCAGAAATGAACTGTGCTCTGAGGAAATAGCACTCTCTGAATCTGAAACCATCAGGCTTTTAAGCAAATCAGGCGGAACCCTTGGGCTGAGCCACCACCGCAGAAGATCTGTGAATACACCACTCTGCAGGTAAAAGGAAGGCGGGCTCCCCGTCCCAACCAGGAGATGTGTGAATACACCACTCTGCAGGGAAAATGAAGCCGGGCTCCCCGCCCCAACCAGGAGATGTGTGAATACACCACTCTGCAGGGAAAATGAAGGCGGGCTCCCTGCCCCAACCAGGAGATGTGTGAATACACCACTCTACAGGTAAAAGGAAGGTGGGCTCCCCGCCCCAACCAGGAGGTGTGTGAATACACCACTCTGCAGGAAAAACAAAGGCGGGCTCCCCGCCCCAACCAGGAGACCTGTGAATACACCACTCGGCAGGAAAAACGAAGGCAGGCTCCCCGCCCCAACCAGGAGGTGCTTATCTAGAAGGAAAGGAGAGCGGCGCCTCTGGAAACTGCATGCAGGCACTGCCCTGAAGGTCAGAGGCCGCAGCTCAGATGCGCACAGGGCAGGCAGGAGTGCGTCTCATCTCTGTTCAGCCCAGGGAGGGGCCCCGCTCAGCGGGTCTGGCCCCACACACGGAGCTCATCCTGCAGCAGTGAGGGAGCACCTCCTCGTCGTTACTTGGTTGGAACCTCACCCAGGTGCGCCCTCTGCGCTCCTCAGAGAGGCCCCCTTCCAGGAGGAAGTGGTCCCTGTGTGTGTGCTGATTCCAGTCTGCTAGGATGGGTCTCCCACCTGTTATTTTAAATGGACGGCCTTTCTCATAACGTTGCTCAGTCCTAGCTGAACCATCCTTTTTTGTTTTTTGGGTTTTTTTTGGCTGTGCCATGTGGCTTGCAGGATCTTAGTTCCCCACCCAGGGATTGAACCTGCACCCTTGGCAGTGAAAGCACAGAGTGCTAACCACTGGACCACCGGGGAATTCCCACGAACCATCCTGTGGACAATCAGTAATTAGAGTTTATGAGTCAGTATGGCTGATGATAAGACCGTGGACGAAAGGAGACCCCGCCCAGGTCAACATTATCTGTAACTGGACGCCGTGGGTTCCTGATGAAACGAGGTGCGGGGGGCCCCTCCCGATCATAAGACCGTGACGATGCTGAGGCGGCCCGTCACTGGCTGTGGCCCCAGGCGTACCTTGTATCCCTGGTTGATGCCGTTGATGAACTGCTGAGGCGGAGGGTTCCACAGGAACTGGATGGTCGTGGAGTTCACGGCTTCCACCTGCACGTTCTGCGGGGGCGCAGTCGGCACTGCTCCAGGGCGGCGGGGGCAGCAGGATGCCGGCAGGGGTGGGGCGGGGGGCAGGGGAGAGAAGAGACGCTGAGCTGCCGCTCGCGAGTCACCGATTCACCGGCGCGCTCAGCGCTGCGAACCCGGAGGGTGGTGCACGGTTGTGGCAGCTAATTGTGATGTTACAACGGGAAAGAGCTGGGCTACCCCTCACTTTCCATTGGAGAATTCTTAAAGGCACAGGCAGAAGAGTGGACCAGGTCATCTCAACCCATGGGTGCACCTTTCCCAGGGTCCCAAGATAGACAGCAAACAAACACTTTCTCTGATTTTTTTCCAGTTAGCCAGTATTTGAGATCAAGGCAAGGTTTGATCTAGGCCTCTCTGCATCCCCTGTTAGATCATTCTGTTTTCAAGCCCAGTTATCCTTTATAGATTAAAAAAATCCCTTTTCACCTGTACTTACTTGTCCATTCAGAGGCTAAATTTCTCTTTGTCTGCCATAGAAACCACCATTAAAAAAATTTCCACTTTCCTTCTCTTTTATTGAAGAGCTATTGAGCCCAATTATGTGCCTGCCCAGAGGCCTCCAAGGAAGTCACGTTCCTGGGGAGCCGCTCACTTTCAACTTGCATTGTCACAGGCAGCTCCCTCCGGTGCACACACAGGCGGAGCCTCTGCTCCAGGCAAGCTGAAGGCTTCACACTAGGAGACGCCACACAGGGGCTGGGACAAAGGGCAGACCTTCCGGGGCGGAAAGGCCTTGAGAAAAGCGTTCACATGGGGAAAATGGAGTCCGCAAAGGCATGCGATGATGAGAAACCTGGTGAGTGGTGAGAGGATAACGCGCGTGGCTGGACATGGGGTGCCGGGGGAGAAGGGGGCTCAGAAAGCGGACGGGTCCCTGTGGGGACGGCCCTGGACGCTGGACGCAGAGGTGGAGAGCGTACACGGAGGGCAGGGGGAAATCAGCGGGCTTCTGGAAATGGCAGAGACGGGACCCGGCCGTCCTCTGAAGGACGGCCTCTGCAGAGGGGGCAGCCCTGCTGGCTGTGCCGCACAACTTTCTGCAGGACATATGGGAACATCCTGGTTCTTTAGGAACTTGTTTCAAAGGAAAGACAGCGAATCCCAGAGGATCCTTGGCTCCAGGAACAGAAACAGAGACACGCGTCTCTTGGCACAGAACACGTGAGAGGACTCAGCATGGTCCTGTTGAAAATCACTGCAGCTTTCATTACGCTCTTCTTCAAAATCTCATATCATCCGGCAGAGATGAGAAAGACTCACCTCCTCCCAGCCCTCCACTCCAGACTCCAAATCGCCCATCTGCTCCCGTCTTCTCTGGCTGCGCTGTCTCTGCTCCCTCCCTCCATACGACACCAGGAAGACTGTCCCACTCACTTCCCACTCAGCCCCAGCCTGAAGTTGTGGACTGAAAACAGCCATGGGCATTACTGCGCCGAGGGTGTAGGCAGCTGGGAAGCACGGCACACCCATCAAACATGAGGAAAAGCTGAACAAATAATAAAGTCTTACCCTTTTGTGAGCCCACAGGGTCACTGTGTCTGAAATATGAGAAAAGAGGGACCCCCCCCTTTTTTTAAATAGCTTAAAAGTAAAAGAATGGGAAAAAACACTTGAAAACACTAATTAAAATGAATCTGGTGTCATTACATTAATATCAAAGTAAATATCCTACCAAGCAATAAGACTGATGATAAAGAAGCACATGACATGACGATGACGTGATCTGTCCATCAAGACGACCCAACAGTCCTGAATGTGGATGCAACGGAGCTTCCAAGTACAGAAGGCAAAACTGACCAAACTACTGGGATAGGTGGAGACTTCAACACTCCGTCAAAAAAAAGGCAGACAAGGCATATCAGTGAGGATCTTCAAGGCCAGACAACACCACACAGAATCTGATCCACAGGATATTTACTTAGAAATCTACCCAAGAGCAACAGACTGTACACTGTTTTCAAGCACACGTGGAACTTAACCAAGATGGACATATTTGAAATATATATGTCATACAAAACAAATCTAAACATGTGAAAAATAACTGAAATCACAAAAAGTGTCTTTTATGACTCAACAGAATTAAACTTGAAATTAACAACAGAAAGATATGTGGAGAGTCCCTAAAAACTTGTAAATTAAGGAACACGCTTCAGAGTAACCCATGAGTTAAAGATGAAATCACCTGGAAAATTAGAAAGCATATTTAGTTTAATAAAAGGGAAAAACACAACATAACCAAAATTTGGGGATTCGAAAGTGCTGGATCATCGAAAAAGCAAGAGTTCCAGAAAAACATCTACTTCTGCTTTACTGACTACACCAAAGCCTTTGACTATGTGGATCACAACAAAATGTGGAAAATTCTTCAAGAGATGGGAATACCAGAACACCTGACCTGCCTCCTGAGAAACCTGAATGCAGATTAAGAAGCAACAGTTAGAACTGGACATGGAACAACAGACTGGTTCCAAATCGGGAAAGCAGTACATCAAGGCTGTGTATTGTCATCCTGCTTATTTAACTTATACGCAGAGTACATCATGTGAAAATGGCGGGCTGCATGAAGCACAAGCTGGAATCAAGATTGCCGGGAGAAATATCAATAACCTCAGATATGCAGATGACAACACCCTTATGGCAGAAAGCGAAGAAGAACTAAAGAGCCTCTTGATGAAAGTGAAAGAGGAGAGTGAAAAAGTTAGCTTAAAAACTCAACATTCAAAATAGTAAGATCATGGCCTCTGGTCCCATCACCTCATGGCAAATAAACGGGGAAACAATGGAAACAGTAAGAGATTTTATTTTTGGGGGCTCCAAAATCACTGAAGATGGTGATTGCAGCAATGAAATTAAAAGATGCTTGCTCCTTGGAAGAAAAGCTATGACCAACCTAGACAACATATTAAAAAGCAGAGACATTACTTTGCCTACAAAGGTCTGTCTAGTCAAAGCTATGGTTTTTCCAGTTGTCATGTATGGATGTGAGAGTTGGACTATAAAGAAAGCTGAGCACCAAAGGATTGATCATTTTGTACTATGGTTTCGGAGAAGACTCTTGAGAGTCCCTTAGACTGCAAGGAGATCCAACCAGTCCATCCTAAAGGACATCAGTCCTGAATATTCATTGGAAAGGACTGATGCTGAAGCTGAAGTTCCAATACTTTGACCACCTGATATGAAGAACTGACTCATTGGAAAAGACCCTGATGCTGGGAAAGATTGAAGGCAGGAAGAGAAGGGGATAACAGAGGATGAGATGGTGGATGACATCACTGACCCAATGGACATGACTTTGAGAAAGCTCCGGGAGTTGGTGATGGACAGGGAAGCCTGGCGTGCTGTAGTCCATGGGGTCGCAAAGGATCAGACATGACTGAGCAACTGAACTGAACTGAATAAACACCCTTTAGATGTTTATATTAGAATCTAAACTTCAAGAACCTATAAGAGAAAATTTAAAAAGAAGTAAAATAGTGAAGAAAAAGAGCAGAAATCAATGAAATAGAAATGAACAATAATAGAAAAAAAAACAATGAATCCAAAAGCTGTTCTTTTAAAAATCAATAAACTTCTAGCCAGACTGATAAAAAATAAATAGAAATTGCAAATTACCAACATCACCAATAACAGGAGACATCTCTATAAACTCTACTGATGCTAAAAGAATAAAAGGACATTTTGAGTATCTTCATGCTCATTAATTCAACAACTTAGATGAAATGAACAAATGTCTTTAAAGAAACACACTTCCAATCTACTCAAGAAGAACTAGATGACCTAAGTAGTCAAATAGCTATCAAATATTTGAATAGAAAATTAAACACTTCCAAAAATGAAAACTATTAAGCATATAATGTTCAATGGTTAATTTTACTAAGCATTTGAAGAAGAAGGAAATAAAAGACATTCTAAAGTATTAAGCTGACACCAAAATCACAAAAAGGTGCTGAACATAAAAAGAAAGAAAAGTAAACTACAGGCCTGAGAACATAGATGCAAAAATCCTTAATAAAATACTACAAAAATCAAATTAAGAAATATGTAAAAATCACAGTTTATCCCAATTCAAGTAGGGTTTATCTTACAAACACAAGGCTGGTTCAACATTTGAATATTCATCAGGGTAATTTGCCATTATCAATAGAATTTAGAAAACATGATCACCTTAATCGATTTAGCAAAATTGTTTGACAAAATTGAACCTCCAATAGTGATTAAAGGAAAAGTGAAACTGAAAGTCACTCAGTCGTGTCCAACTCTTTGGAACCCATGGACTCCATGGAATTCTCCAGGTCAGAATACTGGAGTGGGTAGTCTTTCCCTTCTCCAGGGGATCTTCCCAACCTAGGGATCGAGGCCAGGTCTCCCGCATTATAGGTGGATTCTTTACCAGCTGAGCCATAAGAGAAGCCCAGGAATCTGGAGTGGGTAGCCTATCCCTTCTCCAGTGGATCTTCCTGACCCAGGAATCAAACCAGGGTCTCCGGCATTGCAGGTGGATTCTTTACCAACTGAGCTATCAGATTAAAGGAAAAAAAAAACCAACAATAACTACACCTCTCAAAGTAGGAATTAAAAGTTACTTACTAAACTTGCTAAGCATACATGCTGCACGCTAAGTCACTTCAGTCGTGTCTGACTCTTTGCGACCCCCTGGACTGTAGCCCGCCAGACTCTTTTGTTCATGGGATTCTCCAGGCAAGAATACTGGGTGGGTCACCACGCCTTCCTGCAGGGGATCTTCCCAACCCAGGGATCGAACCTGCATCTCTTAATGTCGCCTGCACTGGCAGGCGGGTTCTTTACCACTATGCCACCTGGGAAGCCCAGACTTGCTAACATGCATCTGTAAAACACCTACAACCAACATTTTATTTAAGATGAAAGACTGAATGCCTTCCTCTAAGATGAGGAACAGAGCAAAGGTGTCTTTCTTACTGTTCCTATTCTGGAAGGCCAAGCTGGTGCAGTAATACAGGAGAAAGAGACC